ATTCTTGTAATTGCAAGTCAATTAAAATATGATTTCTATCACATTTAAAAAATATATATGTTTACAATAACAATTAAACCAATTATGTGCAATATTTACAAAATAATGCTTTGTATAATGTATTTTCTGTTGCCTTGTAATTATTTATCACCTTAAATGCTTCTATAGAAAACAATTGTTTCCGCATCTACCAACTATATAGATTTGAGTTTTTAGATACTCTGGATAAACACTTGGTTGATAAGTAAGTTGATAAGATAAGTAACGAAAAATATTGATTAGGTAAGCTGAATGAATAGTTTACGTGCAATGTGTTAATAAATATAAAAAAAGTCAAAATTTTAATCTAATCAAACAATATAATTAATTTAACTCAGAATAATTTCCTAATAAACAGTCAAGTAATCTAAATTTTTTCCTTATCATCAATTTCACACGTCAAGTTGTTTCTCAAAAATGTAAAATTTTCATGAGGATGAGAGAACCTTTGTTTCTACATCTGAAAAAAGAACTTTTTCGACAAAATAACAAAGATGTGCATTTAAATTATTACTATTATTTTTATCAATATGTAATTTCTCAATAATTTTGTGTTTTTATTTCGGAAAAATTCGTATGACTCATCACAGAGTTTTCCATTTCTAGTCTCTTTCTAATACTGTTATCTTCTTATCGTTAATAAAGATAGGTTAAACACAGTAATTTCATTGTACACTTAATTCATCTAAGACTTGGTATACCCCAACAGGTGTTAATAGTGATAGTAGTAGTAGATTGGGGTGTCCCACATCATATGATTTACAAACATAGTTGATTTGGGGGTGCTACAGCCTAATTAAATCAAAATTAAGTAATCTCATATAGTGTCGATCAATAAGTTATTTTTTTTTAATGATCGACAACGCAAAGAAAATAATAAATAAAATCGTATTTTCAAAATGCTACTAGTCAGTGAAAAAGAAAGATATTATTTCCAAGTTTGAGTATGAAAGAGTATAATTTATCTAGTTTATTGGTACAGAGAGATTTTTGAAGGTAACAAATACTGGTGATAAAAAAATCACAATCAAAAATTGCTAATAATGTAACGGATATAATAAAAACACATTTTCCAAGATGCTACTAGTCAGTGAAAAAGAGATATATTATTCCAACTTTGAGTATGGAATAGTATAATATATCTAGTTTATCGGTACAGAGAGATTTTTGAAGGTAACAAATACTGGCGATGAGCAATCAACAATTGTTATATTGTGACGGGTCTTTTGGAAAATTTATTTTTCCTTAGAAATTCGCCATGCAATAATAACATTTCAAAATGTATATTAGTATTACAGCAGAGTATCTTCTGAATATAGTTCTTATATATTTATTTATTTTTTTTTAAAATGGTAAATTTTCCCTTTCAGTATTCTGTGTAATATTCATTAAAAAAACCGTACATATTAATTTATCATAATGATATATATTAATTAGATTTGTTATGACACCCCAATTTTATTAAGAAGGATTTTTTGTCGATCTTTTTTAATAGTAAACTTTGAACGAAAATAACTCTTTAAAGAACAGAGATACACATTCCATATTAAGATCAAAATATATTAGGAGTATAGGGCAATGTCCCTATAGAGAGATTTTTTTAATTTAATATAAATCATATTACTTATTTTAAGCTAAAAGAAAAAAAGGAAAGTTATGTATATATGATACATAATTTTATGCAAATAAAATTGTAAAAAGCTCTCTATACGCCTAAAGAGCATCAAAATGCGAAATCCAAACCATGTCATTTTATTTAGATACATCATATAGTTTAAGAGTTATTTCAATTTTTGTAATCTTGTGAATATATTTTGACTAAATTTTGGTGTTGCATCTAAATTTTATAATTTTTATATAGTACTATATAGCCAAACAAACAATTTACAACCGTTAATATTATTATACAATTTCTCGTAACTTCTTTAATTATAATAATAATTATTCTAATCAAAGTTGTGTTTTGTTGAATTGTTAGTAGTAATTTTTAAAAAATTTTTTTTTGTGGCACAAAAAATAATAAATCCGCAAAACCCCTAAAAAATTCTTATTAATGAAAATTTATATATGTGATCGACTATGTTTGATGTGGGACACCCCGATAGTAGATGCTGTGATAAAAAAACATCTATTTGTATGACAAGTTGCAATGATAAAGATGGAAATTTGAATAAAAGCTTTCAAAAGAATCTTTTTCTTAAATTATTAACATTAATTGTTTTTAAATTGGTAACTTGCCACAAATAACAGAAATCACGCCCACCTTCCATAATGGTATTTTTTTTTATTCAATAACAAATTCCTCAAAATCTACAGCTCTTTCTCCCCATATGATCAAATCCAAAAAGTCGCTAAACAGTCAATATGAATCCATATAGCTGGCAAAATAATATCAATTGATCAGGATTTGTTCTTCCATGTCAACAAGAAAAGTTTTTCAAAACATGTGGTGGTTTGTACCGGACTACGAAAAAGTTGCAAGCCGTTGGTGGCAATAAAAAATATAATTGTAGTAAAGTTGGTCAATTGGTACGAAATTGTATCATTAACTCGCTCGCTTACTCACTCAATTTTTCTTTCCTTCACTCATTATGTATTTCTTTAGAACTGATTTTACTAAACCACCTTCAATCACAAACAAGATATAATAAAATTTATATGATAAATTTCATTGTGCATCTTTATTGGCAAGAAAATATTATGAAAAAGTTGCAATATCATTGTTATTGTTGACCAAGCAAATTGCCAGGATTTCTTAATAGGATATTATAAGATGACAGAATATTACCTTATATACAGCAAGAACAACAAGAAACAAAAACAATCATTCCAAAGATTGAATCAACAAAAATTTCAACATCTTTATACAAAAAATTTGACTAATGGCATTATTGGGCCTAAGTGTTAAATCAAAGCAAAGAAAATTTTGAGGTTACTGAATTGAAATATTCAATCAATAAAATTCCAGCTGCTTCGTCAGAAGAAGATGCCGAGGAGGGGAGAATAATTAAAAAGAGCAAAAAAAAGTTATGTCAAATAAATTGTTTGTGATATTCTCAATGCAAACAAAAATGAAGACTTTTCTTTTATAATAAACACGATTTAATTTAAATTTTTATTAATCATAAAAATATTTAATTTATCATTAATAAAAAAACATTTATTTAATTTATTTTAAGTATGAAAAATTTTAATAAGTTAGCTTATAAGAAAAAATGCAATATTTAAGGATTTCATTTCAATTATTGATAAATATATTATTTATATTATTGCAAAAAAAATGAATAATAATAAATCTATAATTATAATTATTTTCTCAATTTTCTTTCTTATTATTGTAAATGGTAAGAAGCAGACATAATAATAATTTATACTCAATAATAATTATCTTTCTACTTAAATAATCTTGCATCTTCTGTAAGGTCAAAATAATTGTTCGGGTGGAATTCAAGTTCGTCAATCATCCGACCTAAATCTTCTAAAAAATTGCAAGGTATTTACCGGCACAATAGCAATATCCAACGTTGATGATATTTCAGATTTGATATTCAACAGATTGGAACATCTCGAGGGAACACTAGATATTAACGACAATCGACTATTAAGACATGTTTCATTCCCAAATCTAACCTCAGTCACCCGGATTGGGATTGCTAATCAAACAACGTTGACGAAAATCGAATTTCCGTTTTTGAAACAAGCCGACGCATTAACATTCCGTCAATTGGCTGCTGATGTAACGTTTGACAGTGGATTGGAGTTTATTAATAATATTGAAATTAGTGATACGAATATTCACGAATTGAATGGTTTCAATCCTAAAAATGTTATCACCATTTCAATTAATAATAACCCGTTTTTGAGAGAATTGAAATTGGATAGTTTACTAAAAGTTGATTCATTATACGTGGCTTCCAACCGCAATGATGGGTTTTCCTTTGAGGTAAATAAAAAATGTGGAAATTGAAAAAAAAAATTCTTTCACAAAAATCAATATTATTTATTATTTTATTAGGCACAAAATTTGCAAACTGTTAAAGATCTAGTAATTGAAAATGTTGCAAGTCTTTCATTACCATCGCTCGTCTCCTCCAATTCAAATATTGCGTTATCCAATAACAATTTTTCAAAATTATCAATACCAAAACTTGATTCGATATCTGGAACATTTGCCATAAAAAGTAATCCCGAGCTCAAGAAATTGGATTTTCCGGAATTGAAAAATATGGGTGGTGCTCTAATAATTTCTGAAAACCCAAAATTATTAACTATTGACGGATTTCCTAAACTCAAACGGATAAATGGTGTTATGGATGTTACCGGCTCGTTCTCGGAATTTTTGATGCCTGAATTGAAAGAGATACGTGGTGGAGTAAATGTTGAAACTAGCGATAAGCGATTTGATTGCGATAAAAAAAAAATCAATTCGTTAAAAGATTATGGAATAGCCAAAGGTGACTACTTTAATTGTAAATCTAGAATATTAAATCCAAAATCTAATCCTCTAATAAATAAAAATAATGGTAATAATGATAAGAGTAAGAGTAATGGTGATGGTGACAATGGTGATTCGAAAAATGCGAATAATAATAAAAGCTTTAGTAATGACTCTTCTGATGGACTTTTATTATTGTTGAAAAGCAGTAATAGAATATTTTTTTGGTTAGAAATTATTTATTTTATTATTTTATTTGATAAATATTATTAAATGTCATAATTATTTACTTATTATTGTTATTATTTATAATAATAAATACTTTTTAATTTTTTCGAAAAAATAAAAAACATATTAATTAATAATTAATTTTAAAAAAGTTTTTACAATAAATTCTTATAGTTTTTTTAAAAAAGTAATTTACAAAGAATTAAATTTTTTTTTTTTTTTTTTTAAAAAAATAAATAATGCATAATCAATATGCTTTATTTAAATTTTTTTGTTTCATCTATTTCTAATAATTTTTTTATTCAAAATTATTTTGTATAAACGATAAACAAATAGCTCTCGCTTCATGACTTAAACCCAAAAATTCAACGTTTTCCCAAACTTGATGACAATTATCAACTGTGATTGTGTCGAACCATTTATCAGCATTACCATCATACAAATATTCGAAGATCGGTTCAAAGGTTTCTGGAGATGGAATTTTGATAGTGAAACATTCGCCGCTATTTTTGATGGTGTTGAATACTTGTTGAAAAAATGTTGATTGCAATACCAGGTATTCTTTATGCACCCAGAATGGTTTATTTTCGATTCCTTCGATGTGAAGCTCGGCGAATGCTGTCGATTTGTCACCTAAATATCTTGGACCTAATTGATGAAGTTTGTCAAGAACATATCCAATTGGGATCTCTTCATCAACTGGGTTTGGGCTGTTTGGGTTGGTATTATTAATAAAAATATCTTTTAAAGATGAGTATTGAGAACGGTTTTGCTGATCAAAGTTTGAGGAAGCTGAGAGCATATTTGTTTTTGTTTAGGTTTTATTTTTTTTTTTTTTTTAGAATGGTTAAGAAAATTTTTTATTTTTCTAATTTTTTTTTTTAGAACTCGTCAAAAACTTTGCTCTTATTTATATTATTTTTCATTGACTTGAAAGTATTAAAATGCGACGACAATCTATCTATTTTTATTTGTTTTGTGTAATGAAATTTAAATTTAATTTTAAACTTAATATTGTTTAAATATAGAAAATAATATTTAAAGTAATTATTATTATAATTAAGATAGATATTTCAGACAATAACTTTCTAGTTAACAACAATAGTTTCTTAATTTGTAAAAAAATGCCTATTATCTATTAAATTTGGAATATTTAATGTTTGTCTGATCTACAACACAATGAGTATAATAACGGTAACAATATTATTAATTATAATTAATTGTTAATATTATCATAATTATTATTATTTTTTTTGGTAATCGTAATAAATGTTATAAAGCTTAAAATCTTAAGATTGAGATGTTATGAACTTATTATCTATTTATCAAAAGTTTTACTGATATAGTGTCATTCATGTTTTGAGAATGATTATTATAACAAGTTATAAAACAAGAAATTGGGCGAGTGAACCAGGAATAAAATTTGAAATTGTTGATTAAATTTGGTAAAACTTTAAAAATCTTACCAAATTCGAATTATTTATTTACTTGTTTTCTAGTTGGTAGCAAATGTTCCATTAACTTAAAAATTTATTTTGTTTCATAAATGTTTCGCCTTTCTCCTTTTTTGGGTTTTTTTTTGAAAGTTAATTTCCATTACCATAATTTTGTATACGTTGTGCGCGTGTGTGTGCGTTCGATTAATCTTAGAGATAGTATTGTTTGTTCAAGTTTTATGTTTCATTAATTCAAATTCCCCTTAGGTATTATGCATAAACATTATTCGGAAGATGTATAAACATTGTTTGATAACAGATAACTATTTTTTTATTACGACATAAAATAATAAATGATTTTTCTATAATTTGATAAGTTAATAATTTATATTATTTGCTAATACTAATTCATATTAGATAAAAAGTGACTAAAATAGCCAACAATATTATGTATATATTTTAAAACAATTAAAATTTAATATTAATATGCTGTGGTAATAAATTATAAATAATATTTTGTCTTTCAAATTGGAAATGCACATTTTGTGTTTCTAAACATCTAAATTGATTCGACAGAAATCTAAATTAATAAACAAAACTAATTGATAATGATTACCATTGCAATTACTAATTATAGCTACTTATTGGAATTTATAGATTGAAAAAGTAATTTTAAAAAGTTGCTGGAGTCGTTCTATTTAATCAAGTATTTGTTTAATTGATTTTGGGATATTCATTATGAGTGTAAATGATTATATCAAACAATACCGATTCAATAAAGAATTTAGGAGAAAGCTGATCTTACTTTACATGTAATTATTGTAAAATTTATCCATGTGGAAGATTGCAAACCTGTTAATAAAACTGAAACAAAAACTTTAAATTATATACATCAGATGTCATCATAATAAGATTTACCGCTTAACACTCTTGGTGATAATATTTATTTTACCCGATCCTGATGTTTGATCAGCCGGAAATGATAATCTTAAATCTGACACATGTAGTAATTGAGTCATATTTTTTCTTGAACTATAATATGGAGATCAACGGCGAATTAATTTTTGTTCATGAATTTATTTAATTAAATCTACAATAATATTATGAAGAATGATGAGTTTATATATTGTTTTGATGAATAACTTTCAAGACTTCCATCTAATTACAATTTTGTTTTTTTTTTAACATTTAATCAATTCTTTCTATATCTATAATAAAAAATATGTCGAATGTATGTAAATTCAACAAAAAAAAATTTTTTTTATAATTTAATGTTAAAATGAAAGAAGTTTTTTACCAAATAAAAAATATACTTTTTACTTCAATCTATTTAACCTATAATTTATATTGCAATATATTTATTTATAAACATGCGCTATATATACATTAAATAAAATAATTATCAGTTTATTAAATCAAGCAAAGAAATTATTATACACAAAAAACTTTATCTATTAAAAATTTCACCAAACAACAAAATAGATATTCAAAATATCAAAATAAAAATTTGCTAAAGAAAAAAATAGAACATGTGACTTTTTATTTAGGATTTTGGGACTATTTTGATTTGGGGATTGGGACTTGGCCATTTAAGGTTTGGGCGGCAGGTATAATATAATTATATATTCTTTTTTGTAATCGAATCTTGTGTTAAATTCGTAAACTTATAGTGAATTTATAAGAATAATGTGATTTTTTTTTAATGTAATAATTCTATTATTACTTCTCATATTATCAGTTATATGTTCTCCATCATTTATTCAAGTAGCTTTGTATATAGTCGCAAATCCACTTTTTCCCATCTTTTCAAATCATTGTAAGGAATCCATCGAAGATAATTTTCATTGCAATTATTTGCTTTAAGTTGTGTATTTTTAATTATTCCATCGCCACTGGTATAACCTTATGTTGATAGTAACGGATCACATGAACAATATCTATTACGAGTTGGACATATACCAAATATTTTATCCCTTTTTACAGTTCATTTTTGTTTTCATCACTGTTTCCTCCTATCTTTATCATTGTTTTCATCTAAAATCTTTTATTTTATTCATTTAATGAATTGAAGCAATATGTAATAATAATGATAATAATATAGAATTAAAAGAACATATGTATTTAAAGTAGAAAATAGGATACCTTTTCTTCATTGAAATCAAAGAATTTATATAGAGAGAATTCCAAAGTGTGGCGCAATATGCTTCAATTTGATAATTCTTTTCAGTAATTTTCTCTGGTGAAATGAGGTGGCGAGAATGGGTTAATATGATATACTGTCTTGACTAGACTTTTTGGAAGTTTATAGGTAACAGAATTATAATCTGGATGGAACATTCGATTATTAGTTTGTTTGTTTGCATGCAAATATTAAATAAATGTATTACTATATTATTGACATTTTTCATCTCAAAGTTTCTGCATACATCCATAACACATTGGGGTGTTACACGTCAGCATAAACACAAACATACAGTCTACACTGTCTCTAACGGATGGATCATTGAGACCAGTACCAGGAAATTTGTCCGTTATTATTATAGAGAGAATCCAGTATAGAAAATTGTACTACATTAAGTCATGCGGAATAAAAAATTTTTTATTATATATTACATAAAAAAATATTATTAATTAATATTTAAAAAACAGTAATATAGACTGTTCTGTTGAATTGAATTCTATTTTTTTAACTGTTTCAATTCCTCATTTGTAAATTCCTTAAACTGTTGTTCAAACAAACAAGCTTACTTTTTCAATAGCCAATAAAGCATCTTGACTTGAAATAGGAGATGTCTCTTCGATGTCTTCTTCATCCTGATTTTCTTCATTAAAATTCGACATAGAAATTATTTCTTCTTCTTCTTCATCATCAACATTTTTTTCCATTTCATCAATATAGACAACATTTTTATTTTTTTATTTAGCGATTATGGGTAATTTTTTTAGGGAATTGTTATTCGCTCCCCCATTTTTGTTATTCACGCCCCTCCCATTATTAAGACAAGATAATCACATTTAAAGCCATTCATTGGTCACATTACTACACTTAGTCACGGGAGGGTGCGAATAATAATTCTCTTTTTTTATTAATATTAATTATAATCTAGATTTGGAGAGATCTGCAGTTTATTCCAGATCACGTGAATCCGTTATAGGCAGTGTTGTTGATTCATATGTAAGTCATATGAAGTGATTTTCAGATACAATCCGCTATACGTAATAAAAAGTTTAATCAATAATATTCGCTATAGAAAGAGACTTCAATAGTAAAAAGTCGGGACCAAACTTTTATCCGTTATAGAGAAAAATCCGTTATTATTATTATTATAATTATATATCTGATATAGAAAGATCCGTTATAGAAAGGTGTAGACTGTAGTTGAGCACACATATAAAAAATCATATGTAAGGATTTTTTATTGGGAAAAATGCAGACCAATTTACAAACAATAATATTAAATAATAAAAAATAAATAATAATAAAAAATAAATAATAATATCGTTATAAATTTTTTTCTTATTACGATAAATATTCTCCTAATACTAAGATTGCTTTTGCTGCTACTTCTCCAAAACTCTCCTCACTACTCTCACACTTGGTAAATAAATAAAAAAAGTATGTATAATGAGTATTCATTGTATTCATTGTAACATTTAATCATTTAAAAATATTTAATTTATTCGAATTAATTTGTTCTCTTTGTTCTGTTTGTTCTCTTTGTTCTGTTTGTTCTGTTTGTTCTGTTCGTTTTTATTCGTTTTATTCGTTTTTATTCGTTTTTTATTCATTTTATTCGAATAGAAACTTGTTGTCATGGAATAATTGTGATACATTGATTTATCATAAAATAATTATACTAACGCTTTATTTTTTAAAAGAACGTGATGATCTTTCTAAAAAAAGGAAATATACTACTACTACTGTCTAAGCTCTCTATACCGAACCTCTCTATAACGAATTTCCCTTTTTGTCCCCGATTCAATTTTTATAATTAATTTTTCTCTCTATAACGAGCATCTTAATAACTCTCCATATAACGAACAAAAGCAGAAAAATTACATATAGGGGACAGAGGGTTCGGTATAGAGAGCTTAGACTGTATTAGTATATAATAAATCTATACGAAAATTTCAAAATCTATCTAGTCTACCAATTTTGCCCCTACATTTATGAAAATATATCAAATGAAGGCTCTAACTTACTCTTCAACTTAACCTTGATAGATTTTTTTAAAAAAATTTTATTCTTGTTTAAAGTTTTATTTTGAATATTAAGATTAATAAAAATAGCAACGTTGTTTTGGAGTATATGTTATGAAATACTTATATGCCAGGGCTAGATGCGTAACTCAAATGTGCATTTAGC